AAGCAGTGGTATCAACGCAGAGTACTCCTTCCTCAAGTTTCTATTGCATGAATTTTTAGCTCCGCGATTGATATTCAACACGCACTTGGATACTGTACCTCCATATATACCTCCAACAGAAGATGAAGAGAATATTTACGGACGAGGTTCTTGTGATGCAAAAGGTGCAAATTATAGACATTCGAAATTCCTAAAGTTCTTATGCGAAATCACTTCCAGCGCAGTTGCTTGTATGGTATCGGCTGCTCAGTCCTTGGTGGAATCCCATCCAGATGTAGCCGATCAAGTCGGGCTTCTATTTGTCGTTGGTGAAGAAGTTGACCATGTTGGAATGCAGGTAGTGGTTCCCCCAGATAAGAAAACAAAATTTTTTACACATTCATAGCGAGTATTTCGGCTCACTTAATGGGTAAAGAAATCTCATAAAGTTGCAAATCTGCAAATTTCACTACTTTACGGTAATCCCGATGCGAATTTGAGAGAAGAATTTGCGAATGCTAGGATTGGAGTTCTAATTTTGATATTGTAGTAGGTAGACACGGGTATAAACACATAATGATTATCAAGTGTTCTATAATAGCATTTGGTTGTCTATTGCTAATTCTCCATTTCTAATCTTACAGTTAGACTGCCCGTAACTGTGTTCGATTGAAAAACTGATCTTTGCAAGCGTGGTAAAAATTGTTACGATCAGTAAACTATTGACAAAATATTTTACACTTTTTCATCATAACATCAACGAAATAGTTTTTCAGTTCAAGAATTGCCAACCAGTTGTTAAGAACATTCTTTCGCTTGAGCAATAGTGAAGCTCCGATTTTGAGAAATTTTTCTGAAAATAGATGCAATGTTTAAACTGATCATCCGGCTTTTGTGCACACTTCGTTTCTTAACTTTCGGAGCCAAAGACATACTGAGGATTCGCACATCTTGAGAATCATGGAACAAGGGCAGATTTTCCAAACTTTGTATCACTTACAAGCAATGTATCAAAAAACCATATTACAGAAAGCCAACGGACTTCAAATCTTTGAAACCTGAATATCTAGTTGTAGGCGAACCAGTACTCTGCGTTGATACCACTGGCTTAAGCAGTGGTATCAACGCAGAGTACTTACGTTGTTATCTAAATGCCTGACAAAGAACGATGTTGTCATATCTGTCTAACT